TAGGAAAGCCTCCCTCGGTAAAAACGGGTTTTCTTGGGGGGCATGTTTCTTTTTCAGGGGAAAGGAGGAGGTATTTTGGTTTCCCTTCCCGGTTTTTCCACAAGAGGAGCCCCCAGGGGGGCCTGGCCTGCATCCCCTAAAAATTGGGGGGGATTTTTTTTTTGTTTTTTTTGGATTGTTCCTGCCGTCCCGGGTTTTTTCCTTGCCCCCCCCCCCCCCGACCGACGATTGCAGGTCCGCGGGCCTCAGCGCGACAGGGTCTCGGGTGAGACAGAAGCCGCCGGAGCCCGCGGCGTTGAGGCTAGCGTCGATGATGTCCCTCCTGCCGGGAGTCCACGGAAGCGGGATTTCTGAGGGGTCGGAGAGCGGGGCCATGGGCGCGGTGGTGGCTGTGGTGGATCCGGCAAGGGCGGAGGTGGGTTCGGTTTGGCTGACGGACAAAAATGTGTTAAATTTTCCAGGGTACACCTCGGTACTATATAATAGTTTCTTAGGCGGATTCAGGCGGGGCGGTACTTTAATGTGGCGGTACTTTTTTGGCTGTAGGCGGTATTTCGTTTTGCGGCGGTACCGCCTTTGGCGGTTCCCGGTACTGCCAATTATGACGGTACTTTTCTGGCGGTACTGCAATATGGCGTTTTTTTAGGCGGTTCCCGGTACTTCGTTTTTTGGCGGTACTTTGTAGGCGGTAGGCGGTATTTCGTTTTTCGGCGGTACCGCCTTCGGCGGTTCCCGGTTCCACCGAATGTGGCGGTAATTGTCGCCAGTACCGGGACCGCCCACCACGGCGGGAAAAAAACGGCGGGAATTTTCCCGAGGTGTACCCTGAACAATTTCCGATTGTTTTGGTGGTAACATCTAGAATAGAGAGCGCGATTTTGAATTTGTTAACGGCAAAAGAAGAAAAGAAGCGAGGGTCGCGTTCCATGTTGGACGTTTCGCGGACCGAACCGTGGTGACGACGCACGAAACCTCCAACTGACGTTGGGGGCGTAGCTTCCTGCTTGCCGCCAAGGTGCGAATAGCGTGCGTCATCTCCCCGTCCCACGGACGGAGACTTGCTTCCGTAGCTCGATTGCTCCACGACGACAATCACGGGGACATTGGCATGAGAGCAACCGCGCAGAAAAATCACTTCGAGCGTGTCGTGAGGGAGGGGCCTCTGGTCGGAATAAGCTAAGATTTTTTCTTTTCTGTGTCAAATATCAAATACATAGAGGCATGCCAGGAGATAAACACCCAGAATACTAACTTTTACAACCCCCCTTCCCTCTTGTCTATGTGCCCCCGCCGTGTCTACCGTTGCACCAGGGCATTCTGAGGGCAATCAAGACTCGAGGAAAGGTCGCCACCGGAGTTGCGTGGGGAGGGATGGTGACAACGGCGGGAGGGGGGAGCGGGGTCGTCCGCCTCGTGTAGGCGAAGGAAAGGCGGGAAGGGTGAGGCTGCGGGTGGACAGCCAGAGACGCACCTTTCACGCGGAAATCACATTCCGGTCCCCTCGGCTAGATAGATCTTCTGTGTCGTTCTTCGGTTGGGACAAAACGGAGAGAGCGCGTGAGAGGTACTCGAATTCATACGTGTTG